GKKGWKATGAGGRACAAAGATCGATATCTAATRAGAAGAATTGGATGCAGCCACACCTCTAACCACAGTATAATTCAAAAACAATAATACACTTGTATTTAAACAACGGTATAAATTTGCCTAGAGATATTGCTAGTACATAACAGATATACATGTACATGAATATCATATAGCGAAATAAAGTAAAACTAAAGTAATACAGATTTCATAATATCATATATAGTATTTATAGTAAGTAAACTTGATATTATGCATAATTACTCCTGAATGCAAAGGATATATAGCACTTGAATTTGAATGACTGAATAAATACGTAAACTGAGATATCACTTGGACATTTAAAATTAAAAAAATAGGTCATAATATCATGATATAATTTATAGTTTGCTAATTACTCCTAGCTGAAAAGGATAACCCTTAGAATTTGAGTGACTGTATTTGATAAATAACAAATTRTTTGTCTCAAGAGATTGCTAAGCAACAGAGGTAATAAAATGAATATGGAAAATATCATAGTAACAAATAGTGTGCATAATAAAATATATACATGTAGGTTTAAATATAATACAGTTCTGTGTTATAGTTAGCACGACTAGCAATACTAGCTGCAATACTTGTAATCAATATTACCAACATTTATGTAAAGCATATTTGATTGTATTGTCTAGTAGATATCAATATGTCATAAACATTTGCATCACAGTCACTAGATATTTGCAATGAACGGTTTACAGCATATTACAAAAAAGCTGTCAAAGTCAACAGCAWAGTTCTATTGTATAATGGTGCATTGTGGGTAATTTCTGCTGAAAAAGTATGGCTAAAATCTACTTTTAAGTAAAAATTGCAAAATAATTATCATTTTTTAATGGTAAATTATTTGGATACCACTTGGATTGGCCAAAAAATTATTAGCAATTATATTAAGAATAATTATCCTAACTATCAATTATATATTTATTCATCTGATACCGTGATTCTTATATAGCCACAGTATATTCAAAAAATAGAAAGCTCTATTTGAAAAATGCTTTTAAGAAATATAGGACTGGCTTAGAAACTCTAGTGTAGCAAATGTTCCTCTTCACAAGTGTTATCTCTCTCTCCCACTTTATTCATAAAACCAAAAAAGGAACAAAAGTGGCCATTATATATTTTGTTTTCAACAGAAAGCTGGCAATCAATGTTTCTGAGCCCAGATATATTATGTAAACACAGTCAACACCCAATTTAGAGCACACATTTTTATCTTAGTAACCAATTATTATTATGACAGCTGATAATTGCATTAATCAGATCTTACTAGCTGAAACATCAATCTTTAGCTAAGTCTAAAGACTAATCTAATTTCTAGTGTCTAGTTCACAAGCAGTTAACATTGACAGTGGGGAATTTTGACTTGGGCAATCTCAATATAATCAATGTCAACTGATTTAAATGGAAAAACTGCCATGAGCTATTGTATAACTTTATATGCAAGCAAAAAAGCTTAGACAGGGCAAAAGCATAACGTCTAACCAGGACTCATTGAGCAGACCAAATTTACACCAGAAACCATCACATCGCAACTTTAATGTTCAAAAGAAATCTTTAGGATTTAGGTTATTCTATGACGCTCGAGGGGGCGGAGCTTGCTGCAGATCAGCCAATGACTGAACAAGTTTGCAAAAAGCTGCTCCCCTTAGATCGAAGGAAAGAAACAAACTTCAAAACAGAGCAGAATCCAATTTACTGTCATCTATATCAATTTCTGTGTATCTATCAATTAAGTAGTATTGACTGAAAACTAAAAAGTCTTGATCCAACAATATCATAAATGCTCACCTTCATCAAGTTCATTATTGACAGGTACTGACCATGTGACCAGGTTCCTCGCTGTTCTTCCTTCTTTCTCTACAAGTTTTCTTACTTGATCCTGACTGTTAGTTCTATGAACTCCCTTCTGTCATTGAATAAAAAAAAACAAAAACTGTGAGTTATAAGTACATAAATCCAAAATTGTTAATTCACTAGACTTTCTAAATTTTTGTCAGTGGTCTGTTGTCACTTGGCATTTAAAAGATAAAGTTTAAATTGATGTGATTTTTGTAAGTTGTCAAGCTGTAAACAATTATGCATCAGGGGTGACAGTAAACAAACTAAACTACAATTATTTCTAAAGCATGGAGAGTTGAACAATACAAATAAATTGTGTGCAATACATATGGTATAAACCTGAGTTAAAAATAGAATATGGTAAAATTTGTTATTGCTGTTCTTATTATAGATTTGTACAGTCATGTAATAAATAAAACATGATTGTTTTCGCATGAATAGATATGATAATTTGTCAAATTATGCATAACTATATTGGAATAGCAATGTTTTTTCGACTTTCATATTTTAAGCTTTACTGACCCTGACATCGACGTTAATAAATAACGAAGAAAGCAAATAAGCTTAAGTCTTATATCGTTTTTTTTTAAACATACATACAACACAAAAATCATGCTAGAAAGCAAAACACTCCATCAATTTTATTATGGAAATCGCTGAAGCGTTTTTAAACGTTAAGACACATGCATGCATATTTTTTCCAAAACACAATCTGCCTGAGAACAATTGTGAAGAAAGTAGTTTGTATCTTGTAAAATAATTGCTTACCTTTGAAAAATTTCCTTTCCTTCCAGATCCATCTTTAGAAGAGGTTTTATTAGCTTCGTTCCCATTYCCTTTGACGCTATGAAGGCTTTCGTTTGACCTTGAACTCGACGAAGAGACTCGTGGTGATCGTCGTCTTCGTGATTGACCTTCTTGTTGGGACATTTATGCGCAAAAAAATCCAATACTCCACGATTTGAATAACGTCTAATTATCTAGAAATGATATTTAGTTTTAAATCTTTAGTATTTGATGGAAGAGTCGACAGCTCTTTGAGATATTTTATCTCTGTTTTTGTGTTGATTTTGTTCAAAAACACTTTCAAAGCCCGCCATATTGTTTCACCTTGGAAACCTGTGCCTCGTTATGATGTTATACACAGGGAGCCCAAACCATGGCAAGCTAAGGAGCGCGCATAGCCTGTTTGGAGAGAATTCCGACGGTAACACAGGCCGAAGTGCGCAATGTTTAAACTTCATGGCTGAAAAAACGCTGGAAATATGGAATTGCATGTTCAAGAAAAAGAAAATATTCAAAACGATAAGGAAGCAGAATTTCACCGCGGAAGCAGAGTTTATAGCTCGAAGCTCTGTTAGCGTTTTAGCATGTTTCACGGATTATTAGGGGATAAGGATAAAATTTAAAGATTATGGATTATTTTAGACTGATTCCATAAGTCGCAGTATTCGCTCCTCGATTTTTCGGTTTGTCGCTCAAACTACCTGTGAGCATGGATAATAAAATTTTATTATCCATGCTGTGAGCGAAAAAAAATCGACAGAGAAGGAACTGGTACCGACTTATGGAATCAGTCTAGGATTATTTGTGAATCAAATTATAGATTTAAATCGATATGCTGTGCTGTGCCGTGGCGGTTGTGTTGTTTTGTGTTGTGTTGTGTTCAGTTGTGTATTGTCATTTGTTGTGTTGTCACTGGAGTGTGTGTTGTGTTGTGTTGAAGTTGAGTTGAGATGAGATGAGATGTTGTGTTGTGTTGTGTTGTGTTGTTTTGTTTTGTTCTGTTTTTTGACGTTATGGTAACAAACTCTGGTCACCCAAACAGTTTGCAAGATGGAATCAACTGTACGTGCTCCCTCCCCGCCCCTGCTGAGTAATCCAGCAAAATAGACTTGTTGTACATATTTCACATACCTAGATTGGGCGAGTACGGCACGAAGACTGACTAAATACAGGGACGAAAATTACTGAGCTTTCATTTTTTGGGAGTACATATAACAGAAACGTAAGGGATCGGTTCGCAAAAATGGTGTACACACATAGCGATAGATAAACCAGCTACAGCTAATCCATCTATAATGATAAAAATGTCTATAGGAGTGAACAAATATCCACCCTTGGATAATCAACTCCGAACATTTAAAAATAGAGTCAATTTCGTATGAGTGGGAAAGGTACGGTAGAAATTACCGCACGGTTACCGCACAGTTACTGGACCTTACCTGCACAATTTTTGTGAAGCAATGAGACACTATAATTTGGTTACAGTACGATTACGGTTACAGTACAGTACCGTCCGTTTCCCACTCATACGAAATTGACTCTAGTAACAACTTTTTGAACGATGCAGTGCACACATTGAATTGATTCCAACATTCTTTTGCTACCAAGGGCGCAATCAGCAAGTAAAAAAATACTACGCTACGGTCTAAAAAATCTGCTAATTGTTTACAATTATTGAAATATTTTTCGATAAAAAGGGKCATTCTTGCTAATAGATGACGGAAATATGAAAGACTATTATGCGAGCATTAGTGAATACTATTGTAAATTCATAAAGTAATGTCTATAACATATGTTTCCGAGTTCTTTTGTGCGTCAATAAGTATACTGTTCATGTGAATGTTTACTTATTAATTTTCGCACACTAGAGGGTTTCCTAGCAAACACTCATTATGTGTAGTATGGGAAAACATTTACACAAAGGACGAAAAGAGCCGTGAGAGAGTTAGGCATTGCGTAACCAAGTTTAGAAACAAACAACGTACTTGGGTGCGACTCAKGAAGGAACCATTGAAAYGTCGAATTTCACATGTACCGACTTCAATACATATAAGTTAAAAATAAGTAGAAATCCAAAAGATTGGAATAATTTGCATTGAATTTGATTTTGTAGCCCATACAGCTAGCATATTTTCTAAGTTCAAACGACATTCAGTCTCCAAAACAAAGGCAAGTCTGTAGTTTCCATTTTAAAACGTTACACTCAATCGCGTTGTTCATAGTGTTCATGAGTCTATAAAACTGATTTCTGTTTTTTTTTTTTTTTGTTTTTTTTTTATCGAAAGACAGCCCATTCGGTCAATATATCTGGATTTTCAGAATACATTCTCGACAAGTTGCGTACTGCATTCGCATCGCATGTTTTCTATGGTACATCCAGTACTCACGCCGCAAGGAGTCATATTGTGTCATAACTGGAGACAGAGAGCAAACTATAGTACTACACGTTTCTCATCAGTTTTGCTAAATTTTGATTTAGTACTCTTATAGTTYACATTCAAAAAGTATTCGATAAAAATATGCCGGTAAAGTATATTAGCACTGTATCCCAGTACAAGACTACAAAACCAGCATGCTTACAAAACCAAACCAAACAGCCTACAACAAGTGCTTATTGTGGACAATTGCGGAAAGGAAAAAAAAAAATCACGCTTCAATAATGAATGAAATAACGTCCCTATTCTCTAGTTAAACATATGTCTTTCCAATCAAGAAAGCTTCTCCGACAGTTTTCATTAACTTAATTTTCCCACGCATGTATCACAAGAAGAACAAATATTAGCTTCAAAACGCAGTACTCACAAAACGGCCAGTAACGCCGACACTGTTTTCAATACAAACAAAACGTGAGCTTAAAGACACCAGGAATGTTTTTACAAGACCAAGCCATGTGCCTGAAGTTCCTGCGTCATTTTGAGGACAATTGCTTGCGACATTCCTTGGGAGTTGTTCTGTATTGACGTAAGAACCCCTTGTGTGGTACAACGAACAAACTGGTTATCGCTTTTTCCACTATCTCTCACAGCCATCTAACCCGAATGTCACTACAAAGTTTAGATAGTCAGAAAAAACTTAAAACTTGTTGACAGCTCGMGCTTATTTWTATTCTAGTTTGATATGAGATTGAACTCAAAATAGTCTCGTTCATGATATGGGGATGACATCGTTATCTTGCGCGATCTAAAGGGTGTACATACCGTTAGGCATAATCATAGCGATGAGACCGAGCTTTAGATTAGAAATGTTATTTTTTGTGGAGATAAAATTCGTGTTTGATTTTCTTGTCATTTGTGGTCACTCAGTGATGTTTTATCTTTGCTGAGTTATGATTGTGACCTTGGAGCCGAAAAGTTTCTAAAGAAAGTTGACTTGATTCATTTCGAACTTGCCGCCATTTCGTTAGATTTCTTTAAAAAAAAGTGAATAGCGAGGAAATGAAGCAAATTTTATGAGTATTTCAGATCACGGAAGTTTTTTTTATYAAAATAAAAAAATTAAGAATTAAAAAACGATTTAAAGATCGTTTTAATAAAATTTAGAGATTTGATCCTCAATATGGATTAGCCTATGATTTGCGAGCGGTAATTGTTTTATGCAAGCGTCAACTTAACGGTGCATACCGCTGACTGATTCGTATCGTACGCGCTCACCACGCAACAAAAAAGTTGCGCAAAATTTACAGCATGTATCMACATYCTCWATAGCTTTTAAAGACTTGATTCTTTGCTACTAATTACATCTCGAACAAGACGTGATTAACATAGTTGCCAAGATGTCATCTACAGAATACTAACATGTGATTTCCAATTTGTCAAAGGTATGGTAGTGTAGTTAAATAAGGTGGCCTTGGAATGACGCGCCCTCAGTAGTTGCGCCTTTTTGTAGTCACGCGCTCCACCACGACTACATTTTTTCTCTGCCACTCCCAGCGAATAACTCCGGATGCAAACTAAGATAGTTCAGATAGTGTTTTATGATGCTGTGTGCGCCAATACAACTTAAACATTCTTTCGTTTCTTAGTTTGATTTTCCACCAAAAAAATTATCACAGCATTTCAGCATCTCAGATAATGTCTATGCTAGAATCAGTAAAACGGACTATCAGAAATTTGACGTTTTCGTTGCCTTTTCGCTTGTATCATTCTTTATAGGAGGGAAAAATATTGCAAAACGCTATGAAAAATAACTGTTCACACAGCGTTTTTGAGTTAAGGATCACAAAATGCTCATCCCGACACGCGGAATGATTGTTTACAGAGCGTCTATACGCGWGGACTGATGCTGGAATCAGTTATATCTTACAGTTGTTGATTTTGCACCAGATATCATCAACGCGCCCCAGAGTTTATCAAAGCACGTGCTTTGCAATAACATCTCGCCTGCCCTTTGAGGCTAGCCCTTTGATAGCCATCAGAATATGGATATTAGATGTATTGAATGTCCAGGTCATAATTTGCTCGACGGCCTTAGACGAATTTTCAACACCTCCGAACTTATGGATGCTGTTCACAATAGCTTTGTAAGAGTCGAAGAAAGAACAGTAATAAGCAACGTTTTTAAAGCGATTTTCAAAACTCGTGAAACGAATTGTGATGACTAAAGTGTAATTGGTGTTAATACATCGAAAATATAAATAGATAAACGACATCAATAAAGAGTAATTTAGAATACAAAGTCAAATGTATTTCACGGGCTTAAGAAAGGCGCTATGTAGAGCTGACCATTTGACTTTTGTTTTCGAGATGAATTTCCTACAAAAACAATTCGTGCGGGTACATGAGGTTAAAAGCAGCAGCAACAACAACGACAACAACAATAACAACAACCATTGTCTGCACTGCAACTGGCACAAAATGATAGAAAGAGGGAAACTTTATCCTGCAGAGCACTGCATAGCATCAGGTAGTTAAAATATGCCAGGTCATAACACCACAAAAATTCGGACGTACCACACACTTCAATTGCATTTATTCTTGCATTTATGAGCCGCCATCTTGGATTTTAGAACGTGAATTTCAAGTGCTCAGGCTGGTGCTCATAAAAATTACTACTGCACAACAGGTTTGTTTTTGCGTTGCCTCACTTGTCTGCGAGTTGAAGGAAGTGCACCACGCGCGATTTACACGTTATACGGTGTTTGTTAGAGTGATTTCATTAAACCTGTGAAACAAAACTACTAAAGAGTGATAGACATGACAATACAATTAGAGTGTACTAAGGTGTATTATGGTTATATACCCATGTCACGGCTGGGTTTTTTGACTTCACTCTAGGACGATAGCAGAATACAAACACTAAACTAGACGTGTGCGCAAAATGAAACATAGAAAGAAACTAG